GTGTGTCAGCCACTCCTCCCAGTTTTGTTTCTTCAGCAAACTTGCTGCCAGCGCTCTCTAATTCCTCATCCAGGTCATTGTTGAATATATTGAATAGCGCTGACACCAGTACTGACCCCTGAGGGACTCCACTAGACACAGGCCTCCAGCTAGACTCTGCCCCATTGACCACAACTCTCCGACTTCTTTTCTTCAACTAGTTCACAATCTATCTCACTGACTGATCATACTTCCTCAGTTTACCTATGAGGATGCTGTGGGAGATAGTGTCAAATGCCTTGCTGGTATCCAGATAGACCACATCCACTGCATGGCCACCATCCATCCACCTGGTTATGTCTTCATAAAAGGCTATCAGATTGGTCAAACATGACTTCCCCTTAGTAGAGCCATGCTGACTGCTCCTTATCCTTGATACGCCTAGAGAGAGTGCCGAGGATAAGCTGTTCCATCATCTTTGCAGGGATGGAGGCGAGGCTGACTGGTCTGCAGTTATGTGGGTCCTCCTTCTTGGGCTTTTTGAAGACTGGAGTGACATTTGCTTTCTTCCAGTCCTCAGGCACCTCACCTGTTCCCCACAACTTACCGAAGACGATGGAGAGTGGCCTAGCAATGACCTCCACCAGCTCCCTCAGCACCTGCAGGCGCATCCCATCAGGGCTCATGGATTTATGTACGTTCAGGTGTCGTAACTGATCCTTAACCCAGTCCTCATCAACCAGGGCAAACTCCTCCTTTATCCTGTTGTTTCCAGCTGCCATTTGGCAGAGCTGTTAGTTCACGTTACACTTTCCAAAAAATGCTCAAAATATGTACGATCTATGCCTTGCTTTACTCTTCAAATCCAGAGGTTATCTACAGCTATTTTCAAAAGAAAGAAGACTCACACATAGATAAGTTTCGTATTCACTGAACCATCATTGTGTTATCATCACTTACGTTGTTCTCCTAAAATCTTTCTGAAGAGTTGGATATTCCGGCATCTTCCTTATGTCTTCCCAATCTTTATCTTTGGTGGGTAGAAAAAAGGAGAAGCATTTACAATTCTGAAAATGCAGGTGAAGCAATACACAAGAAGAAACAACTACAGCAGTTGTTTTATTTTCTGTTTGTTGGCCAGTCCTATTGTTTTGTAATTACCAGCACTTCCAAATCCATCAGACCGACAGCTTCTTCATACCTATACAAACACCTAGTAGTTTCCTTCAGAAAAGGGTCAACTCAGTAGCATTATGTCTGATGTTTTAATGAAAATAAATTACCTGCAGGGAATCCCATTACACTGAAAATGCGATCTAGCTGATCATGATGAAAAGGATTACTTGTTTTGATGTCCTCCTGACGACAGTGAAATATAGGTTCTGAAGTCAATAGTTCAGCAAATATGCAGCCAATTGCCCAAATATCTAAGGAAGAAGGAAGATAATTCATGCAAATTTACTGTACTTCATCACTCTGGTTCTTGCTTCTGTACAATCTCTCAACAATCTATATGGCCACAGCAAGAAAAAATACCTCACAGTATAATTACATACACTACGCAAAAAATAATGCATTAATGTAATACATAAAAGGGGTAAAATCTGGACATGTAGTTTTTTCAATCAAAATTAGAGTCCTCAAATTCTGTTTTAAGTTGTACACTGGCAGTCCAGCACTTAATGTATTCATAGCTGCAGCAGAAACTTACACAGTATTTGCTGACAAGATAGCTTAAAAGGTATTCAACTGACCATCAAAACCAAACCACAAATCCCCCATAAAGATACACTAAAATAAAAGGTCTGAACAATTCAAAACAGGTTATTGATAACTACATAAATTCTAAGAAGGAAAAGACTAGTGACTCATAGGTTTAACTAGTGCAAGCTAGGTCATATGGAGAAACAAGAACCTAATTTTGATCAAAGAGTAGAAGACTCTCAAACTTAAAAACCAAACCAAACCAAACCAAACAAAGTCCTGCTTGACAAATCAAACCAAGAGGAAAATCAAACCAAATCATAGAATGGCATAGGCTGGAAGGGAGATGATTCCCACTGGAATAATATTAGAATTGTCTCATCTACATATGTACATACAGAAAACAGCAGCATGATATACTGATGCTTTAATGAAAGAAAATAACAATAAATTTCTCATTAATATGCTTTCCAGAATTAAATCTCTTGTGGACAAGAACACTAGTTTCATCTATAGGAGAAGAAATTTTTAGATTACATTTATTTATTTTACCTACTACTATCACTATCCATTTTGGTGTTCTGCATGACCCTAATGCTTTATTATTCATCTTAAAATGAAAGCATGAATTTGTCAGTGAGAAGTCTATTAGCAGAAAAGAAATGGATACGCTACATTGACAAATACGTGCCTGGGATATAACTCTGGAAAAAGATTGAGAGATCAGATTAATAATGAGAATAGACTGCTGAACACAAGAGTGTGGAGACCTGCTTAGCAGCTGAGGTTAAACTAGACAACCCTGGGAAACCTTCTGGATTTTATCAAATTTAATAGCATAAATAGAGAAAACATTTACTTTTAATTTGTAGCTCTAAGAGACAAAAAATTACCTGGATGGAGTTTGGTTTATTAGATTCAGACCAGAGAGAACACCAAGAGAAGTTTCTTGTTTGTTGCAACTAATCTGAGACTTAAAACCCCATCTGCTGTCACTGGTGGTGTGTGGCCCATGCTGCCTGTGAGACACACGGTCCACTGAAGAAAGAAAAAAGCACTGCTCTCTTTATGTAGGGAATGAAAAAGGAATGATTACTCTCTTTGCCAAAAGAGGTCATTTCTATCGTATTACAGGTGTGGAGCTTGGGGTGTCCCATTTTATTAGCTTTTCTCCCTTCCTCCTTTACAGGAAACATTTTATTCATACTTCACAATTTTGACAGGGTATAACTTGCTCTGTGCATTACATCACTTTCTCAGGACTTTAACGTCCTTTGATTTTCTTATTAGCCTTATCTGCATGAAAACAAGATCTTTAGCTCTTGAGATTTTATCTGCTCAAGCAGCTAATGCAGCATATTAATCACAATTCCTGCCTCGGTAGCAGGCATAAATTATCTACTCCTGAATGGAAACTACTTATTATTTGAAGAATAGCATCTTCATTTAACTGTATCTACTCACTCGTTTTCATGCTAGATAGCAAATCCTTTGGGGGATGGTTTATCTAGAAGCCAAAGGCATTGCAGCCCTCTTGCTTTTTATGGCTTTCTGCAGTGTTCGTTGTCCATCACATAGTGAGGGAGAGGCTGGGCCCCTGCTCATTATTCTATTCATCGCTGCTCCAGCCAGACTGACTTATTCACTTTAAAGGAAAATAATTTAGTATTCTTGTTGACAGCAAAGCTGAATTGGGAAATCTCCCTGACGTGACACAGCAAACTTCAAAACTCTTTTCGTCCTTCATCGGCTGAACTGTGTGAGAGCGGAGCCACTGTGGCAAAGCGTTCCCACTTGCTGACTCCATGATTAATGCAGACAGCACATTTAAAACCCTTTGAGAATTCAGAAAGGCAGACATTATACCACCTAGAAGTTACATCTGAATAAACACTGGTAACTCCCAAGCCAATGTGGTATTTTCTATGGGATGGTATTACTGGGCGAGGCAAGCATGAGAATACTTTAGTTCTGATCAGTCATACTCTGTACTAGTTCATAGTGCTAAAGATCAACCCTTTAGGTCTCTTGCCAGATACTCTTCAGCTTCAAAGAACTAATATAAAGTAGCCCAAAATACTTAGTGCAGAAAACTTGAAGCTTTAATTTCCGTAAGTGAAGATTAAACAGCTGGAAAAGGCCTTATAGCCATGCAGCTCAAGCAGGTCAGGGTCCTCCCATCGTCATTCTAACTTTCATGTAACCTGATCTCAAAAACAACCTTGGCACATATTGAAACCATTCCCACAGTTAATGATTTTTTGTCAAGTTTGACCAGTCTCTTTTTCTTAAAAAAAATATCCCACAACATTCATAATAACATTCATAATTTGCAGTAATTATCTGGTATTTTTCTAAAAAAATTCTGGCAAGTTTAAAAGCTTCATCAATACAAGCAGTCCTACTAAGTATTTATCTCCTGCACTGTTCATATTAGTCAAGGAAATATAAACTTCAACTCTAACTATGGAAAAATATGTCAACAATTAGCAATTTCACTATCAAGTACCATTTCACATATATTCAGTTTGCGATCCCTAAAAAAAAAAGATTAATGATTATTACATCTAATCTAAATCTATTCCAATTAAGACCTAGTACCCCTCAGAAATGGCCATTTACAGTGGCAAAGCTTAAAACAAATAAATACAGTGCATTACCAGTCTAGCGCACATCATCAGCCTCTAGCACAAGAGGAACTTCTTATAATGCTGTATATAATATATATGTTTCATTGTAATATAATTTCTTTTTAAAAGCAACCACTAAAGTAAGTGGCAAAAATGATCCAAAAATTGGTTTTCTGCTCTCCGCTCTACTACTGATCAAGAGGGTGAGTTGTTTTATTGCTTCGGACCCAAAGCTGAACCATAGACAACAAACACTTTAACTGGTTATGTCTCAGACCCACTGAAAACTGGGACACAAACGTCCTAAAAGAGTTGCATGGTTACTAAGTGTTTTTCCATCTGAAGTCCTGGAAGAATCCTAACAAATTCACCAGAGCAATTATTCCTGTAAGGATGGTTCTGTTTCCTACAGTCTCTTCTAGTGCTATTGGGTTACAGATTGGGGTTTTTGTATGTTTTTTATTTTGGTGGGTTTTTTTTCTTTTTTTACTTTGCCATGCAAGACCTCTAAACTCTGCATTTTCCCCAAGTTTACACTGAACTTGAGTGCAAGCCGGTTTTTCTCCCTGGCTCTGGAAAGAGGGGTAGGAATAAAGGCCTTTGTAACATACTCCTTTCCCTAGGTTCTTCACTGAACAGCTTGTTCAGGTCCCATTCAAATCTATTCACTAGAGAAATATCCTTCCATTGTAACAGTATGTCTTAAGTACTATGTAATTTTTATAAAAGGAAAAAAACCCACCCTTTTTAAAGATGGTCACTTTTGGTTTGCAGACAGACTTTATATACATATGCCTGGGTGCACAGATTATTAGAATATTTGTATGGCTGTCCATGTGCCAGTTTTAAAATCTGTGACTCTAATAGCTTTATAGGTCAGCTACTAAAGCTGAGAAAATCCTGCATGTCCTGCTGTACTTCAGTGCTGTAGCCAAGGAGCAAGTACAAAAAGATGCTGACATAGCTGTTTTAATGATAGGGCTGATTAAGCAGACAAATGCTCATGTATTCTTTCCTTTCTATGCCACAATAATCTCATTTCTGTATTTGTTCCAATATTTTAGAAACATTCTTTAAGAATATTACAATCATTTAAGACAATAAGACAATTTATTAAGCAATAGCATTGATTCTCAAAACAACTTCTTTTCACATGCATATTAACTACAATGTTTCACTGAACACAGTACAGAGTCCAAGATTAAATACTTCATGATTCTTAACTATATCCAAGAAAGGAAACACATGGGTGAGCTCTTAGTCTTAAATAATTATTTAATGAAATTCTGTTAAGGACAGGAAGTCACAAATCGGAAAGCATTTATTTAGCTGTAAGTGATCTGAAGAACACATCATTAGTGAGGTTTAGTTTAGTGGCATTAGTACTTCAACCAGCCTGCTTTTTTATTTTTGTTGCTTTGAACATCAAGTCTAGACTCATCCAAATGTTAGTAGTAAAGCAAGCGAAGAGCAGAGGGATACCAGAATATAGCCTCGCTACATCCACCAAGAGCTAATGCAACAACCAGGGTCACCAAAAGTTACTTAGCAAGTCCTCAGCCCAAGCAATGTATTCCAGGTCACCTATACAAGGTACAACATTTATGTACAATTCACCTAAACTTTCAAATCAAGGCAAGGACAACAAATACGCCAACAGTCTGGGAACCTGAAAAGGGGCAAACACACCTAATCTCAGACAAATATCAATTGGTTTAATGTACAGGTATAACTTCTTTATAAACAAAAGCTTGCATCTCTTATGCTGAGCATAGCAGTAGACTTCAAGCTCATTTGGAATCTTTACACACAGTGACCTAGGAACATAGACATACTATAGAAAAAGAGTTTATTAATTTTTACACTGGCTTTAAATACCGAGAAATTAGATTTAAGAGAATTATACATCTTTAAAGGGGAATTTCTGATTTCTTTGGTCCAATAAGGTGAACAGAACATACCTGTTACATACGTTGCTATCAGAGACAAACACAAGGGAAAGACCTTCCCGTTCATACACTACGGTCTCAATTTTTATACGCTTCATTTAAACTTTAGTCAGCAAAACAGAAGGTTGAGGAGGAAGTGGTTAT